CACCACCCCACCCCCAACCACTATAAAACTCCAAGCCAATTGCACCTCCCTACTCTCTCAAACTGTTTTGAGACCTGCTTAGGAGGGTCCCCTGCTCTCCCCAGAAAGCCTCATCATGTGAATACCTTCTTGGCGAATGTGTAGTGTCGGGCTTAACCTCTGAATCAAATTTTGAGTGAAGAGTCCATTAAGGACTGAATATTTGTGCCCTCTCCCAATTCCTATGTTGAAGTTCTAACCCCCAATGTAATGGTATTAGGAGATGGGGTGTTTGGGAAGTGATTAGCCTCCATCCTCATGAAAGGGATTGGTGCCCTTATGAAATTAGAGACCCCAGACAGCTCTCTCACTGTCTTTCCTCCATGTGAGGATACAATGAGTAAATGTCAGACTGCAACCTGGAACAGGGCCCTCACCAGAATCTGACCATGCTGGCACCCTGATCTCAGACTTCCAGTCTCCAGAAATGTGAGAAATAAATTTCTGCTGTTTAAGCCATCCAGTCTATGGCATTTTTGTTATAGCAGCCCAAACAGACTAAGACATCTGTGAAATAACACAGCAATAAAAACAGTTGCTATCACATCAGGCTCCCCTCCCAGTTATCTCTGCATTTGCTTTTTTTTGCGCTACATAGAGAAAAAGCCCCATTTATGAAATTAAGGGGTTGTGAATGATAACAGTTGGGTTTTTTATTTAATCAAGTTACCTTGCAACATCAGGACATTCATTGATTAATGGATTCAGAAGCTTGAAAGCAAAATAGAAGCATATTTTCGTTTCAAATATGAATTCCACATCATATAAAACTGCTCTCATTCCTAAACTTAAAAAGTCAGACAAAAGCACCTAGAACGAATGGTTAAGGGCTAAATTTATAATTTATCTGTAATATGGTTTCACTGTGTTATAGTAGGTTACCCATTCATTCATTTTTGCACAATTTTATGCATGAGGAAACAGAGATTATTTTGCTGTGACAAGAACATGGACTGAGCAGACATGACTGATCTTTGCCTGCAACTGACCAGCCGGGATGGACATGTGACATGTAGAGTAGACATTCAGAAAATTTTACATGAGCTGAGAGGCAGTGTCTAAATTCAACTAAAGATCGGTGGTGACCTTCCAGTGACACATTCATAAGAAGCTCACATACTGCATTTTACTGAACTTGAGCCACCATCAAATCTAAGACATGCCATTAAAAACAAAACAAAACAAAAACAATGCCAATT